ATATGCATACGCCCTAACTAACTCTATATGCAATGTCTATTTGCCGCCCAACCATTCTAGTGTCGTGACGACAGCTGTGTCCTGTGCGTGAAGAACGGGTGCCGAAGTGCTTCCGAGGGCGTGAGCCGCTTGTCGGGATTGAGCGTCAAGCACCGCTCCAAGAGATCCACAAAGTGGTTGAGCTCCCTGGTCTCCGTGTCGCTCAGGTCGCTTGATGCGGCCAGCAGACGGGTGCGCAGGTCCCGCGTAGGCTTGACCACCGCCAACGTTCTAACCGTTGTCTGCAAGAAGCCCAAGTTAGCCACCATCCTCGGACGTGCTTTTTGCAGGGGTATATTTGGATCTGGGGTTGTGTTGAAGGAGCACATGGAATCTCTATGGAAGAAGCGAACTGTTGGGGTCGGCCAACCGGGGCATGGTCCCATTGGTGCTGAGGCGCGCGGTTCACGACGCTCTGTAGCCCATCCCGAGGCCCGCTTCCTCATGCACGCCGGAACATTATCATCAAGGCCAGCAGACAGGTCCGCAGGTCTCGAACGCCGGATGCAAGCAAACATGGGGCACCGATGAGTCCGTCGCAGCCAAGCCAGTGGGAAAGGGGTGCTTTCCGCGGGCCTGTTGGCTCGGGCCATGCGGTCGCGGGGAACCCAGCCGCGCCGCTGGCGCTTAGAAGTGTCCATAGCCGACACTTGCCAGCCAAAAAAAGAAGCGCACAGGATGGGCCATATAAATAGCAACAAACTGGAAGGGAAGGAGACCAGGGTTTGGGTTTGCGTATTGATGTGAGAGATTGAAGATGCAGACGTTGTTGAGCATCTTTGAACTTACCTTGTTGTAGACCTTATCCCGCTCAACACTCAGAAAGTTCCCCAGTTCGTCAAAGTGCAGGCCGGCCAACTGTCCCCGCCGATAGAGCTTTTGGCTTAGCTTGCCGCGGATTTCCATGATATTCTTCAACATCTGATTGTTGCTGTCGCCTGTAAATAGAATCTTGCCCGTGTAGAGCTCATACAGCGTGCAGCCGATGGACCACATGTCGACTGCATAGTCATACGGAAGACCCAAGATAATCTCCGGTGCGCGGTAGAATCTACTGACGAGATAGGGCGTGATTTCGGTTGAGGCTGTGGCTGCGTCAGACCGGTCGATCGCAGTGCCCAGGTCACAAATCTTTAGCAGATTGCGAGCTTCATTCACCTACCAACATTGTCAGCAATTGCAGTCTCATACCAACCTAGGGAACGGGACTCACCAAGATGTTGTCAGGCTTCAGGTCAGCATGGATGATGCTGCATTTGCGCATGTGGCCAAGCGCAAGGAAGATCTGGTAAGCATACGCCCTCGTTGCGTTCAGGTTGATGCCAACATTATTGCCAAACTTTTTCAGAACCTCGCGGAGGTTCAAACTGAGATTCTCGAACACCATGCATAAGTGACCCTTGTACTCGAAGAACCGCTCAAACTTGATGAGGTGCTTTTTGTTCTCAGGGTCGGCAGCATTGAGCTTCTGCAAGATGGCGATCTCAGTGTAGCCACCCTTCCTCAGCGCATCATTGTTCCGCATGATCTTGATGGCGACCGCCTCGTTGGTGGTAAGGTCGAGAGCGCGGGCGACGCCTGAAAACATGCCCCGACCGAGAGCCGTTGAAAGCTGATATCGACCATCTAGGATTTCGCCAGGCCTGATCTTGTAGTATCCGTCCTTATCGTCGCCGTCCACGTTACCTCCACCACCAGCGCCAACTTGAGCTGCTAAACCATCCTGAGCGGGAACAGCCTTGGAAGGCGCCGGAGCTAAGCTGTCGTCGAAGTCCTCGGCGAACATGTCGAAGTCATCGTCGTCGTCTGCTCCCTTCTTTGGTGCCGCAGCTGGTTCCGCGGGGGCATCCGCGGAGGCCAAAACCTGTGAGGGCCGACGAGCCTCTCCATGAAGACCTACATTGCCGTACCGCATCTCATCACGTCGCTCATCTTCTCTCATGTCGGCCGTTGGGTCATAATCGGCAGCTGAGGGTCCATCAACATCGCTGAGCTTGACCCCACCGTTGGTCTTGACGAGGTCTTGGTCGTCAACGAAGTTAAGCGCCGCGGGTGACATGGCTTCCTGAACGCGAGACGGGGAGAGCGCAGGTGTTGAAGGGTTGTCTGAGGGGTTGGTCAGTGAGGGTCAAAATATCAGGTCGAGGGCTGCTCTTACTAGAGTTTGGGGTGTTGGCATCGGTCCTCGGAGGCGCCGGAGTCGCCTGTCGAGTCGAGCCTGGTGTAGAGGGATGAGTTTCTGCGCCCTGTAATGCCTGTACTGCAGGAGCCACTGCGCCATTGGTAGTGGCCCGCTTCAGCGCCGCTTCTCTTGCGCGTCTGCGTCGCTGAATCTCGGCTTCTTGGGCTGCCTCTTCGTCCATAGCAGCGGACGGATCCCAATCCAAGTCGGGCTCAGGCTCGGCATTCTGTGCGGTGTTCTGGGGGTTCGGACTGCAAACGGTCAGCACGAGCAATGCTGCTAGGGTGGCACGAACTTACCCTTGTTGCGAAATAGCAAGCCCGTTGATTCCTCGCTCAACCGTAGCACCTTGATCATATTTAGCATTTTGCTTGGGATTAGGAGCGTCCGCCGGAGCAGCCCGCTTGGACATCGAGTCCACTCGTGGGTGACTCTCGGCATGGGCACTGTACTTGTGTTCCTCTTGGGGCCGATCAGAGCCGTAGCGGCCTCTGTCTCGATTGCCTCTGTCTCGCCTGTCGCGGGGGGACCTGCTGCGGCGGCGAGCGCGCTTGTCCGGATAGCCGTTTGCACCTCGGTCAAAGTCGTGGTCGCGGCTGCGCGGGTCGGGGCGATGGCTGCCCGAAGGTCGAGAAGCGGGCCCATTCTCTCCCCGGTTTCCAGAGTACGGGTTGGGGCGGTCGTCGCTGGCACGATGAGACCCACGTGATACAGGTCGGTCTAGGTCGCGATAATGGCGGCGGTCATCTCGAGTGTTCTGCTCGTAGTGGACGCGGAAATGGCGGGGGTCTCGTCTGTCGTGGCTGTCGCGAGCATCACGGTCGTCGCGCGGTCTTTTCCAGCCGCGGGGCGATCGGCTTCGGCGGCCGTAGCCATCTCCTGAGTGCCTCGAGCGCACATCATCCTCGGGTGTTTGTGAAAATCTGCCTCGATGTCTGCCGGCTCGGTCAACATCACCGCCTTGTTCATTGCGAGGCAGCAGGGAAGGTGCCTCTACGATTTCCCCCTCATCCGCACTGTCGGTCGAAGAAGGCATTGTGAAGCCCTCCTCTATGCCTCTTTCTCTCTCTGGAACAACAGACGAAAGCGATGCGCTGGTGTGCGGTGGCTGCTGTCGCTGCCTTCCGGCCGCCTTGTGAGTCGATGAATGTCAGCAAAGTTCGGCTAAGCGACTCTAAATGGAGAGCTGAACCCAACCGTTCAGGCGACCCAGTGTTCTTGGGGCATGCAGTAAGGATGAACCAAATGGCAAAGAAGAGATGCGTGGCCCCGCGTTGGGATTGTTGTCGTGCCTCTTCGCTTGGAGACGATGTATGATGCGAGTGCAATCCGGCCTGGAAAGTTGAATGGAACCTTGTCCCTGGCAGGCAGCCAAGGCTTTTGCCAAGCACACGAAACGTGCTGAGCCGGAGTTCTGCCGCTCCACCGCCTCAGGCCTTATCGATTCGATGCAATCTGAATCGCGGGGCGCTGCCGCGGAAGCTGTGCTTTGTCACATCCATCCAACCACCAGAACCGCAGTTACCTCTCGCATTTGCAAAAGTAAAGTAAAAAATGGGTGGACAAGGAAGAGATGGTAAGTGGAAGCGCCCTGTTCATACCTGCCGGTGTGCTGACCGTTTTCCCAGGTGGCAAGGCCAAACCCTTGAAGGTGCGACGAGGCCCCCTTCCATCGGCACCCGAATGCGCGACATAGGCTGACGAAACACGGATGAACAGGCCCCCAAGAAGGAGAAGAAGGAGCTGGATGAGGATGACAAGGCCTTCCTCGAGAAGAAGAGAGCCGGTATGAGCGGGAGATCCGGGCGCAGCTAACCTTGACTGACGCCAGATAGATGAGAAGGCGAAGAAGGAGTTGGCTGCTAAGGCAGGCGGCAAGGGTCCTCTGGTAAGTCTACCCGCTAGATCGGCACATTTTTGTATGCGTGGCCATTGCTAATAGTCAAACCAGAACACCGGCGCCCAGGTACGAACGAGACCCCTTGACCAACCAGCCCCCACCAAGCCCACGATTCTAACTAGCGAGAATAGGGCATCAAGAAGTCCGGCAAGAAGTAAACGAACATGGCATAAGGCGTTAGGATTGACTGCATATGGGGTTGGTTCGGAAGGCGAGGCGCATGAGCAAGGAGCGGGCAACGGTATGCTATTTGCGGACGGGTCTGTTTTGCGCATTCGCATTCTTGTGGCTCTGCCGATATTGTCCCACCGCTTGACGAATTGAAGCCCCTCACTACCATCTACAATTTTAGTGCTATATATTACGTTGGAAGGGGCTGGGCAGGTAGAGGGACTCGCAGAGGACTGTGCCCCTGACTGACCGTGACTCCTGAGTCGAGGAAAAGAGCGACAAAATTCCACTCACCAGGCGCCAACCCCTTTCCCATTTGGAATAACAAAACCTCCCAGACAAGACCAAAATCTGTCCGGCACAGATAATCCAACACCTAAGGGGAAAGTGAATGGCCAATCCGCAATGCGCTCTCAGGCCCAGACCCAGAGGCCTATGCATGCTGGACCCCATCAAAGTGGACACCATCCCAAGCCCCTGACCGGCTCCGATCCCCACACGGCAAGAAAACTTCTCTTTCCTACCCACCGCCCGTCCATTATTAACCCCGTATATTCCACTCAATTTTCAATAATCGGGTATGGTGTAGTGGCTAACATCGCTGACTCTCATCTTGAGCACTCAGCAGCCCGGGGTTCGATTCCCCGTTCCCGAGAAAGCAGGCACGACCGCAACCAAACTACCGCGGATGGAAACATCCGCATCTTATCTTCCGTAGTATAGTGGTCAGTATGTGAGCTTGTCATCTCTGTCACAGAGATCTCATCGCTCGAGACCCGGGTTCAATTCCCGGCGGGAGAGATACCATGGTGTGTGCCTGTATTTTTGCTGGGTTGTCGAGGTCCTTTTTGCTGTTGATATCCTGACCTTCGGAGGTAACACCCAAACATGCCATCTCACATCGCCGCGAGGTTCCTCCCGGACAACCTCATACTCCTCAAGAAACCCTGGCAAGTCGACACCGACTCCCCCCTTTCGACCCCCGAGCCCGATCTCCCCACCAACGCCCAAAAAAACAAACCACACTCTTAGTATCTTAAAGGCCGAGCTCCATATCCATCACATGCTCATCCTCTTACTCACGGTCACTTACATGAATCTCCTCAACAAACACTACCGTCTCCTACTTGGAACAACATTGGATTTTCTGCCACCAGCATCTGGACATGTCCCCTACTCCTTAAGATGAAGACGCGTTCGACTCCACCTAGAGCTCTGCGCATCGCTACAGGCTGGTACGGCTACGGGGTGAGGACATTCGCAAGCCCGATACGCAATCCAGCGCATGCCCATTAGTGTTGGTTTCAAGGGGAGACCAGAGGAAAGCAGGTGGCTGTTTGTGGAAGTTAACCCATCCCAGTATTGGTGGCCAACAGAGAATGTTGACACGGCAAGAAGTACACTGTCATGCGAACAGCACTCATACGATATCCCAATATAAACTGCCAATCCTCTACTGGCTTGCCGGGGTTTGAGCTCAACCCGTTCGCTCTGTGATATGTGCGTATATATTTTCGAATATGTATACGAGCGGACTGAAAATCCACGCCCTGCTTATTACAATAACATAGTGATGCTGTTCTCTAGTGACGTCGTTTCATAAGCCCCAGCCAGCCTGCCCTCCACGGGCAATCCTCCCTTCAACGCCAAACGATGCGAGAAAAATGCAGATGCTCTCTCGGGATCCAAATCGGCCCTAGTCATGAGCTGCCTCCCCCCCTTGGTCTCCAAGAGAACACCCGTCTCTTGTTGGATCCCCAGCTCTTCTTCAGCGACCGGAGCTTCTAGTTCCCGCCCCATCCATTGCTCACATTGCGTGTTGCGGCCCCTGGTGCGCCGCTCGTCTCTCTCCGCCTCCCCCCTCTAAAGTAATCGTACTGAGCTGGGTCTTGTGCCTGCGTGGGCAGGGGCGGCGACACCAAGTCTGCGTCTGTTTGCGGTAGTCCGCCATACCCATGAGGCCCACCGCCAAGGATCCCCGGAGCTTGTGAACTCCCAAGACCTAGTCCGCTCATGCTACGGCTCTCGTCAATGCTCATGTCCCTCGATCCCACCGGCGTGCCCGCTCTGTAAGGTACCGACGGCATTCCCGCAGCGTTATGAACCAAGTTGCTTTCGCTATCGTTGCCTTGAGCGTAGAAAGGACTGCGGGTGCGAACGGGGCCGTCAAAAGGGGTGGGTGTCAGAGATGGTGGCGTATACGACGATCCTGCGTACGCGGCGTGTTGCTGCGTCGGCGGGATGTAGCCAGGCGCATACGACGTGCCAGGCGGGGTTTCTGACCGTGGGGAGAACACTCTGCGGCCTACTCCGAAGCCCATGCCGCCCACTGGCGTTCCCGGTCTTGAGCCGCCGTCAGATCCTGGCCCGCTCACAAATGTCCCTGGAGTGCCGGTTCGAACGATATCAGATGGCCTTCCGAACAACTCCCCAGCCCCGTGGTCAGCAGCAAATTCATCCCGGTTTTTGTAGAACTCAAAATCCAGGCGATTCTCCGGGACCACCTCGAAGCCTGGGACTGCGGTCGACACTTTCCCGGCCTTCCCGGAAGCCATGTTGTCCATGGCGTACGTGTCGCTGTACCCGCTGACCGACGTGGTATCGCCCATATCGCGCCCATCAGAGAGACGCCCCTGGTAGATGCTGGCAAGGATATTCTGCGCCCTCGCGTGAACCATAGGGGTGATCAATGGCTTGTACAGGGCTGGGTGTCCGAATCGAGCCGCGAGCCGGTCGTTCCTCATACTCTGCTCCTTCACATCCATGCTAGCCTCGACGTTGTGACGCTTGACATTCCGCGTCGAATAAAAGTGGATCCTGTCGTCAAACGCCCGGGAGCAGTAGATTTTGAAGGCAATGAACAGAAAGGGGAGCGGGGCAACAGCGTACGCCTGGTGGTGGGTGCCATCTCCGCGGACCCAAACCACCAGGAAGACCACCAAATTTGCCAGAATGGCGCCGAATACGATCCGGTTGAAGAGAACACGCCAAGACATGCCTCCACTCTCCGTCTTGGTCACGAAAACGTAGAGCAGCAGGTATTTCCTCAAGGCCACATCGATGCAGAAATAGAGCGCTGCGGCCGGGAGGACAAGCGGCTGAATCGGGGCGTAGCAGAGGGCGACCGTCGTGTAGAAGAGGAAGTAGTTGTAGTAGCTGGCGTAGTCAAAAGGCGGTGGCGCGGTGAGCTCGATGAGTTCTCGGGGCGTGGGGTGCGAGAACTTGCGCATGAAGAAGCTGTAGATGAGCGGCCAAAGCTGGGCCAAGTCGATGGCCGCGCCAAGCTGTCTTTGCAGCATCCAGGAAACCCAGAAGGGAGAGACAGAGCAGAGCGAGAGGAAGACAGTGTCGCCGAGATTTTGCTTGAGGATGGCCTGCCAGGCATCCGTTCCCTCGGTAGTCCTCTGGACAACCCCTGAAACGAAACTCCATATCGCACTAAACATGGAGAAGACGAAGAGGTTGTTGAAGACGAAGAAGGCGTAGAGCTTCGCAACGACGTGCCGTTCTCGCCCCGATTTTGTCTGGTCGCCGGCCTTGATGGCCATTCGCCGGAACACGATGGGCAGAAGCAGGTAGATGAGAGACGTGAGCGCTGGGGACGCGATACCTTGGACGATGGACCAAAAGCCGCGGTTGCTGGCGAGTTCCCGCTGGAAAGCAGGCCAGACGTGCCCTAGGTTGGCCAAATTGACCAGAAAAATGGCGATCATGGCATTGGGCGCAATCCACACAAAAGTGAGGCCTGTAACCCACAAATTGTTCCAAAGTCTCCTGGCACTGCGCGCAGACGAAGTCAGGGGCATGTTGTCCCAGATGATGTCGTTGGGCCTGGGTGCAAGGGTTATCGTGGCGCCGTTGACTTTCCTGTTGCGACAGGTGTAAGCGATCGAGTGTGCTTCCGTAATGTCGGCGTACGATGCGAAACCATAACCCATCGTGCTTCTCTTGTCCACCCTCTGCCTGATTTCCTTGATCTCAATCTCCAACACCTTGATGCGTTGGGTAAGATAGTCAATCGCATCAACCTTCTGACCGCTCGGGTATGTCGAATAGGATGGGTCTTTCTTTGACGGAAGGCATGTGGGCCTCGCCGGCGGCAAGTGATTCGGGTCCCTGAGGTAGACAGCCAGGACCTTTTCCAGCTTCCGCACCGTCTTGGCATGCTCATCGATGAGCTGGGGCAGGACCTTGACATCACGGGCGATTGCGGTCCTGGAAAACGACGAGTTTGGTGCAATGCCATCGATGAGCCTGGCGATGCCCTCGTCCGTGGAAAGATTCTTGGGGATGTCGTACAACTAGCACCTGGTCAGCCGCTGCGCATGCTGTCCTGATCGGCCATGGCCAACTTACCATCAATGTTCGAGCGTGGAGGCTGTGTTGGTACTCCTCGCTCTCGAAATATTGCCGCCGCAACTGGACAACCTTCCTATAATTGTACCAGAGAAACCCCGCGGCAATGAAGTTGAAGAGCCACGCAACAACCACGGTAGCCCAATGAGCATCTCCCCATACGTTCGCAGGCCCAATTCTGGACAACTCCGACGCATCTTTGAAGTACACCCCCTTGGAAAGATTGATCGGAATCAAGATACTGCATCCGACGACGGACAGTATCACAAATATGTTCCGCAACATCCTGGTGAACCGCATGAAGATCGTGGCGTCCATCCCAACGAGGTTCACCAGATCCTGCTCCGATGTGGACCATAGCGGGACCATCCACGCAAAGACGCCCTTGCCAAGCGGCGGCGGTGCATGTTTTTCGTCGGCATGCTTGAGCTTCGGCGCATAGACGACTGTGTTGTAGGGTCGAACGAAGGAGAAACAGAGAGCGATGGCAGCGGTGATGCCTAGCGACGAACCTAGGGCGGCGTACACGGAGCTTTGTTGCAGCTGTCAACCAAAGGGGTCAGTCTCCATTTCAAAGCTGGTGCGACCCCGGAGCAAGACATACCGAAGAGCTGAAGGGGTCTTGGAGTAGTTTGAGAAACTCGCTGGCAGGATCGGTGCCTGTAGTTTGCCTCGGCAACAAAACCCGCGTAGGATCCATATCTGCTTTGAGTTCCCGTGGATTCAGGCCCGCTTGGGGCAGGTATCGAAAGGCGTGGTCAGAAATGCGTCGTTGATTCTGACAGAGAGAAGGTTTGCTGCGATCGGGCTCGGAGCCGTAGAGGTGTCCGGGGTGGAGCGGCCCTTGGGCTCGTCAGGAACCTCAAAGGCGAGTGTTGCTAAATTCGGCTCAAAGACGTCTCGAGGGGAGCAGGCGAAAGACGACAAGGGAGCACAACATATGCACAAAGACTGCAAAGGCGCGAAGTACAGATCGTGGGGAGCGGAGGACGATCACCAGAATGGGTGACGTAGGACTAATGCCAAGACCGCGCGACGCGATCCTTGGGGGAAAAGAGGAAAAGAACGTCTCGAAAGGCAAAATGCAACACGGCGAGGTGGTGTTTGTTGTAGGGGAGGTATTCGGGTCAAACGAATGTCAGAGGAAGTCGGACAGTAGCGAGCGGCAGTCGAGATCCTCCATGGGGAGCAGTGAGTGCAGCCCGTTGACAACGGCAAGGGAGCACTCCAAAAGAAGCTCTAGACAGGATTGGGAAGGAAGGGGCAATACCCAGAGGATAGCCACCCAACCATCTGAAGTGACCTGAGCGTCTGAAAATTGTTGCTGTCATCAAGCAAGGTGGCCCCGCGGTCATCGACCATCGACTTCAGCAAGACCCTGACGGGTAGGTAGCAAGCCCCATTGTCCTGGTTAGCTGCAACGGAAACTGATTGGATGGCCCCTG